TCAACTATAATTGAAAAAAAAATACATGAGACTTTTCATAAAAAAATTGTATTTGGAGATTGTTAACAAGAAATGGAGTAATTTTGGATATTTTATCTCATCTCAAATTAGAGAAAAAGTTGGTTATTGATTTAGTCCATTGGAGTGTGGGGTTCAGCACCAAGGCCATGCTACTATTAGAAGAAGGGTCAAGGTTCAAATGTGTGCCCCCTGCAGTGAACTGGCCCCTTACTCCCTACCTGTGCTGCCCTACAGGGATGGGGAGACCTGGATTTCACTCATCAGTTAGAGTAGAAAAAGATTCTGGTCATTAAGGAAATGACATAATATAGTGAGCCATTCACTTATGCTTCTTTTTCTATTTAGGTCACTTTAGAAACAATATACTTTAGCAATAATAAACTTAGGAAGCTCCTGGGTGCAAGGCACAGTGTGTGCTGACATTTGCAGGGATCATTTATGACACTGGGTAGTAACTCCTAGTCCAGTGGCAAAGGTGTGGGTTACAAGACAGCTGGAGGACAAGAGACGCACAAAACATTAAGACAAGGGTAATAGAATGTCAACCATAGTTGGAAAATACATTTTCTAAAAAAGCAAGGATAATTGACATGTGGTTAGAACAGTATACAATGCACTGTTTTATTTTTGCAGAAAAAAGGAAGCAAATGCACGTGTTTCAGAGAGCAGAGCTGCAGGGATGTTGGGCTAGGGAATGACTCGTTGTAGAGGAGATAGAAATAATTGGGAGCCTTGCAGAGGGGGTCCGAGTAGCCATCATCACTGAGAGGGAGCTGTAGAGATGGAACAACAGGAACAGAATGCAAGGGGGTAACAGCGCCAATGGAGCTAACGAAGAGCAGTGAGAAGTGCAGCTGGACTGGGAGTCTCGTGGTGTGACATGGGCCTTCAGTGAGATACTACGGAGTTTGGGCTTTATGGACTAGTCAGAATAAAACCATTGAAAGGTTTTGCACAAAGGAGCAAAATAATCAGCTCTCTAGTTTAAATTGATTAAAGTAGCAATAACATGTAGACAATTTGGGATTATGAAAAAAAATGGTGTCAGGAGAGAGACTAGCTGAAAGATAGATGATGGGAGTGATAGAAATAAAAAGAGACATTATAGACGAGGAATGTCCAAGGGCTGAAGGCAGATTAGATATGGGAAAGGAGGGAGCTGAGAAAGAGAAAAGAAGAGGCATCGTGAGCAAGAAGATAGAATGTGGGTTTAGACGGGCTGAATTTAAGCACCGTGATATGTTCATCCAGATGGAGATGCCTGGGAATAGCTAAATGTGCATTTGGAGGTTCTGTTGGGTAACTTTCTGTTATTGTGATCTAGAGCAGGAGGTGTTCATTTTGGACTTTGGTTTAAAAAAAAAA